ATTATGATACAAGTTAATAAAACTATTTGGCATATCATCTCAGACAAATTAAATAAATTAGGCATAACCCTGGCACTGTGGGCAATTAACAGCCATCTGATAATTTTCATATTTACTTTCCTCTCTCATTTGATCTAATAGATTCACCTTAGTAGGTTCACACAGCACGTTAATGGCAGTGTCAGAACTTGAATCCAGGTATTCTGACTCTAGCTCAAGTGTTCTGTATTTACAGATGTCTTACTATTTTAGACAAAGACGGACTATCAACATTTAGAGTGTAGAGAAAGTTGATTTGTTTTTATTTCATTCAATGTATTTCTCCTTTATTTATTAGAGAAAAGTTATTTCAATCATTAAAAAATAGTTATCAATTAGAACATTTTAAAGGTTTTAATCTTGGTTAATTTACCCTTATCAAACATTAAGCCAAAATTACAAAACCCTTAAAAAATATGAAGGCCAAATTGGATTAGAATTTTCTTCTTAGATGCCTGCTAATTATTTCTCATAATAAGCTAGCTTTCCTCCAAAAAACCCACCATTATTTCAATTTGATAAGAATTTGATCCCTATGGAAGAAAACTGGGCTAGGAAAATAACAAAATTAAATTAATCCTCTGACATTGTAATGATAAACATTTAACTCAGAATTTACTAAAAAAAAGCAGAGTATATCTACACATTCAGATTACATGTGAACAAATTTACAATCCTCCAAATTGCATTATTTGTATTTTGAGCCTGAGAAAATCTCATTCGATAGTCAATAATTCACAGAATTTTTCACGTTAATAAAGAAGAAAAATTAACACAAGGAAAGATCCAGTATAATACCAAACATTATAAAACAGAAAAGAGGGCCGGGCGCGGTGGCTCAAGCCTGTAATCCCAGCACTTTGGGAGGCCGAGGCGGGTGGATCACGAGATCAAGAGATCGAGACCATCCTGGTCAACATGGTGAAACCCCGTCTCTACTAAAGATACAAAAAATTAGCTGGGCATGGTGGCGCGTGCCTGTAGTCCCAGCTACTCGGGAGGCTGAGGCAGGAGAATTGCCTGAACCCAGGAGGCGGAGATTGCGGTGAGCCGAGATCGCGCCATTGCACTCCAGCCTGGGTAACAAGAGCGAAACTCCGTCTCAAAAAAAAAAAAAAAAAAAAAAAAAAAAAAAAAAAAACAGAAAAGATCCATAGTGACTTTCTAGCTACACAGAATCCAAACATCAAAAGCTAGGTGTCAAGTTGCATTATACATAACAAAACTATTTGGAGATTTGGAAAAACTTCCAAATTGAATTCCTTTCAGAAAGCTAAAATCCACAACCTATTTAAAAGATTTGGCTTCTATGTCACTCACATTACATAACAAATATAATCACTTTGCTTTCCTTCCTTATCAAGTAACCTGCTCCATAGCAGAGCTGTCAGAGAATGGCAGGCTGTATATCATATATACAGACAACTATCATATATACATACACATATGTAACATATATACACACACATATATAACATATAAACGTATATATAACAAATTCCACATTTTAAAAACTATAAATGCCAGGTTTGACTGGTATTCCAATGGAAAAGAAAAAAATATGAAGGTTTCTACATATTCTTAATAACAGGGAATGGAATGCAGCTATGATTATCTGCTTCAAGCTTCTATTAACCACGTTTTCAAAATGCTCAATGACAAAAATGAGCAAATATATTTGCTTAAAGCTATAAATGTTCAAAGAATGCATGTTTTAAAAACAATGAAAAATCACTAGCGTCTGTGACATTCTGAAGGAAAGTAAAATGTACAAAGTTCCTGTCAGACTAATATCTGGAAAAGATGTCCAAGCCTGCCACCTTGAGGGAAAATTTAGGACAATTATTTTGAAAACAAAATTGGCATAAAGCCCTTCAACGTTGCCCATCAGTTACCCCAACTAAATAACATCACTTTAAAATTTTATGGTACAAGCGAGGAGGTAAGCATGGTCTTTCAACTCGTATCTTATTATATTCTTCCGTCTTTTCATATCAGTATTCCACATGTATTCCAATGTGCCTCCTTATATTTTTTTTAATGGAGAAAGATATTCTTAGAGTCATTGGTATGTGAAGAAAGGATTCCTCTCTTTTCTAGTGGTTTCTCTCTCTTCAGTCTTCCTGCTTACTCTCTTCCTTCTTTTCCTAGCAATACCCCAAAAGTTCTCAGGCACATCATCCCCAGAAATACTTGCGCTTATGTGCGGATGTGGGTATGTGTGGGGGATATGGTTGGAGAGTTGGAGGGAATAGAATATGACATTCTCATATGCTATTAAAATATTAATGACCAATTAGCTTTAATGTGTTACTTTTCCCTGCATTTCAAAGAACAAAATTTATTACCAAGACATAGATTTCTAGATGTAGCTAAAAACTAGTGACTTAGATCGTCTCCTCCCATGGCTCTCCACAGCCCAGGGCATGTTTATGCCTCTGAAACCTTACAATGTATTTGGCCCAAAGACCCAATGTATACATTACACACACACACACACACACACACACAGACACACTCACACTTAGCGTGAAGATTCTAAGTCAGGCTAGGTTTCTTCATCTAAATTTGATTCCTTCACTAGAACTTATAGAGTAATAGAGTTGCAAACAAAATATAAAAATTACCATAGAACAGTACTTACTGAGAAAGACTGATATGGTACATGTTACAGCTCATAAGACTGTATATCTCCTCCTGGCTTGAAAACCTTTCAGGCCAAATATTTTAGGGAGGTTCCCCCAAACTCTTTGTTTCTGATGAAGAGCACCCTTCTCTCTGGCTTCTGCATCACTTACAACAGGATCTACAGGAGGGTGGAGGGCTTGTGTCACAGAGCCATTCTTCTGGTTTTAACTGAAACCTGGCTATCATCTCTCAAATAACTATTTTTCTCTCCACACCCACTTATCTGTGGGTCTGTGTGTGGGATATGTGCTTTCCTTGCTCCTCAATGTATACAGCAGAAGTGTTCTTACTTTCTTCCTAAAAATAGCCTCAGTTATTTTGATGCATAGGCCGTCAGGTGATATAAGTTTAGCAGCAATCAGTATAGTGCCCTGGTTAAGAGGGGGGTCACATTTCCTGTTTGTAAACTGTTTCAATTCCCTATGCCTTATTTTCCTCATCAGTAAAAATGGGTATCATAATAGCATTTGCCTTAGGGCATCTCTATGAGGCTTAAATAAATTCATGTTCAATATTTAGACTGGTACCTGTCAAATAGCACTTCATAAATGTTGGCCACTGTCACCACCTATTTCTCAAGCATATGGTAAAGTTTACTGTGTAATTTGTTTGCATTCTAGTATTCTGCCTCAAATGCCTTTTGCAGTGTCTCCACAGGTCTCCATAGGCATAATCTCCACTGTGAATTTCTCCATGAAGTATGTCTTTGTCCCTTCAGCCAGATGTGATTTCTACTCCCATGTAAACACCCTAGCTCTACATTCCTCCTCAGTGATAATTATATTGTACTTTGCATTAGTTCGCTCCCTATTCAGTGAGCTCTTGTCTGGAGTAGGTCACTTTTGTGTTTCTTGATACCATTTTTTCACACAAGGTACCCTCAAGTAGTCATTGCATGTCATTACAAATACTATGACAGACTTTGTTAAGGACCATATTAGAAGTTGATATGGTTTGGCTGTGTCCCCACCCAAATCACATCTTGAATTGTAGCTCCCATTATTCCCAGGTGTTGTGGAAAGGACCCAATAGGAGGTAACTGAATCATGGGGGCAGGTCTTTCCCATACTGTTCTCCTGGTAGTAAGTCTCAAAAGAGTTGATTGTTTTGTAGGTGGGAGTTGTTCTGGATAAGCTCTTTGCCTGCCATCATGTAAAATGTGACTTTGCTCCTTCTTCACCTTCTGCCATGATTGTGAGGCCTCCCCAGCCATGTGGAACTATGAGTCAATTAAACCTCTTTTCTTTATAAATTACCCAGTCTTGGGTATGTCTTTATTAGCAGCATGAGAATGGACTTACAGAAGTCTATATTCCAAAAATTTACTCTTCCCACAAAACTATTGGCAGGAACTCTCCCTTTTAGTTTCTCAAAACCAAAAGTAACACCCACAACTTCCTTATCTAATAAACAGAAAGGCTACACATAATACAGGCTAACTACAATCAAGACAAGGTTCCTACGTAGGACAAGGCATAGAAGGCTTTATTATATTAGCTTTCCAGTAGATCGACTCATTTAAAAAGGGGAAAACATCCTTTTGGAAACACTGAAAAGTAAACAAAGGAAGGCAGAGACTGGATGGACTTAGTTGAAAGATCTCATTGGGTGAGATCCATGTTTCTATGGCTTTTCCCCAAAGGGCACACCCTACTTAGAAACATGCAGTATGATTGGTTTGAGGTGTGAGACAACAAAATTTAGGACTGCTAGAGTGGCTATACGTTAGAAGAAATCTCAGAAAAGGGAGTCACAGAAGAAGGGAATTCCCAAATCTGTGTACAAGTCCTGGGCTGACCTCTGAGCTGCATATGATGAGAGAAACTCTAAGAAGCCCAGTGGAAAGTAAGAGCTGGAGGTTTGCAAACACAGAGTAGGGATCACTTTATTTTTTCATCACAAGACCCAAACTCTGGGGTTTGAACCCTGCCAAGTTAGATGTGTTTGGTAAATACTCTGAGCTTTCCACAGACCTAGCCTAACAAAGAAACTCAAGCCTTCACAAGTTAAAAATGATCAGCCAGTAATTTAACTGCTTTCTATTATTATTAGAATAAAAGGAAAATTATACAGACACCCAGGCTAGTTATGAGCACACATCACGGGTATTTAAAAAGATTTGGTTCCATTCTAAAATGACTAATAAAGCTTATGATTAGGTAGTTGGTAGACAGGGGAAGATGGCTAGCAGGACAGTGTAAGGGAAATAAAAATCTTCTAACACTCAGTTTAAGATAAGAAAATGTGTTAAGTAGACACAATACATTATAAAATATTATCAAACATGAATTTATTTACAAATGAAATAAAAGCATGCTATTTGAACTTTTTTATAAAGAATAAGTTGACTGAAAAAGCAGTTTTAAATGACATAAACTCACAAATGAGTTTTAGAAGTCAAATAAACATTTCCATTTTAGAGAACAGTATCTTCTAATAAAATATATAACTTCAAAGCATATAAAACATATATTCATACATTCTTAAAAATAAGAGATTGTTATTCCACCCAGAATTTTTCAATAATCGAAAGTATGTCATGTTTAACCAAAATTTGCTTCCAAATAGGAGTGTCTTTTAAGAAATTAAATATTAATTTTCAAACAACTATTTCTCCATTTGGTAACTGGAGTTATTCTTATTAAAACAAAGGTCTTTATTTCAATGTATATTAATATGGCTGAAGGCTCCAGACCTGAGTTATTTTGTTTACTTCCTTAAATTCATATTTACAACACATATCAATTTGAGGTATGATGACAAAAACAGAAACGAAAGACACAATGGAAGAGTCTATCTCCCTGTGGAAGAGGCAAAATAAGTGTTGACTTCATTTTTCTGACCTACAAAACTAGGAAGTATAATCACATTATTTGTGACAATTTTTCTTTCTAAAATGCCATGAATTTCAAGGTAGAATTCATGCCTTTCTCCGCCATATCAAGAGAGTTAAGAATATGGATTTTGGAGTCAGACTGCCTGGTTATGAATCCCAGCTCAGCCAGTTATTTTGTAATCTTGGGAAAAATACTTCGTGTCTCAGTACTAAGTTTCCCCATGTGTACAGTACTGATCTCATAGAGTTGTTATGAGAATAACATGAGTAAATCACTTTGAAACAGAGGCTGATACAATGTTACATGAGTTTTCAAATGAGACATCATGGGCCATTATATGTGGGAAAAGATTCTCACTATGTCATATGAATGAAGTATGCCATATGAAAAGATCCTGACTATATTCTATGGGAAGATATATTAGGTTAAATCACCTAATATGATTACAAAACACAAAAATGAGAGTTTATTTTTTGTTACATTTACCTTAGCTTCAGACAATCCAGGAAGCAACTGAATAACATTATGACAAATAGATATAAATGATTATAAATCTTTGTGGTTAAAAACAATAAAACACTATAAAAGAGTTGAATTCAGATGTAGTTTAATTACAACACTTGAAAATGTAGCACAGTTATCTCCATCTAGTGGATACCACATTAAAAATTTTTACAGATAGTGCTCAGCCTTTTTTATCACTGGGGGAAAACTTTTTAAATGGAAGTACATTACTTTCACTAATACAGAGGGATAAAAACAGAAAATAAGTTAAAGACTATATTGCCAGTGCTCCAACATATCATAGCTAAAATACCTTTTACTAATATGTATATCTCAAATGTGTTTCTAAAACAAGGTAATGGAGTTAAATAGTAGTTTTGGTTTAGAAACTTAAAACATACCAAAGATAGCATGCAAGTCACCAAAAATACTGACCATGACTCAGCAATTAATTTAAAAAAAATTAGGTGTAACAAAATTAAGAATTTAAAAATCATAGAGCTTTAAAGATGTCAGACCTTTAAAAGGCATTTTACCTACTTGTTATCCAACTCTTCTTAAGCATCTTTGATAAATAGAAATCTTATATGCAATAAATAAGACTCTTACTTTTTTCTGGGTTTGCTTCTCTAAAAAGACTAAATAATTAGAAAATTTATGCTTTTCATGATTTGAAATCTAGTTGTTGACCTCTGATTTACACTTCAGGCAATACAAAATTAAGTCCAATCTTTCAAATCATTATTCTTTAGGAGAGCTTATCAAGTTTTAGGATCTCTGCTCATCCAAATTAAACATCCCACATAACTTTAGCCATTTATCTTACAACAAAATTATAAGGAGTTATCCTGTTGTTCATGCTCCTTTTAACAGTTTGTAGCATTTTAAAAAATGACTATATCCAGTACAAAAATAACATGCCATGAATGGTCTGGATAATACAGATAGCAAACATAGATTATCACCTCTCTCTCCATATTCTACTTCAATTAAAAAATAATAAAAAATTTTTAAAAACTTTTCATAATGAGGCAGAATATGATAGAAACTCACAGGCTTGGGAGTCACATCAATCTATGTTCATTTGGTGACAGTGTAGAATTTGGGCAAGTCACCTGATCTACCTGACGTTTAGTTTCTTCAGCAGTGAAATAGAAATCAACATCTACCTCATAAAAATATAAATGTAGCATCAAATGACACAATATTTGCAAATGAGCCAGTATAATGCCTAAAGCATTATAAGTGTTCAATGATGATAGCAGCCTATCATTATTACCTTTTCTCCTTTTCTTTTTCATCTTATATGTGCCATATACACACATATATGGTTCAACAAAAGTGAACGAATCAAGTTTCACTGTGAAAAAAAAATACATTTAATATTTTTCTTGCTGGAAGCTGGGCACAGTGGCTCATGCCTGTAAATCTCAGCACTCTGGGAGGCCAAGGTTGGAGGATCACTTGAGGCCAGGAGTTTGAGACCAGCCCATACAACATAGTGAGACCCTGTCTCTATTCTTACAAAAAAAAAAAAAGAAGAAATTATATATATATATATATTTTTTTTTGTACATATATTACATATATACACATTTTTATATATGAATACATATACAAGTATTTTACTTGTTGGAAAAATACTATTCTTTTGGTTTGATAGTGATAGGCTGAGCTAAAATTTAATTAACATTAAATTCATCAAAAATTTCTCTCTTAAAAAAAACAATATACCGATATTATATTGTGACAAAATGTCTTACCCTATAAATAACTTTCAAATCTCAAATGATTTAGTGTTGGCTCATGGATATATGTCAAAAATATATCCTCATCTATCTATTTTTATTATAATTTTCTCAGTTATGCAAGTTTTCGTGTATTGGAAATGTTTGTTGTTAACATTAAACACATAAAAATATCCTATATAAAGGATAACTAACAGCTATTCCTAGAGTAGTAAAACGTAACCCAAATAAATAAAACCAACTATTTGTAATTAGTTGAAATTTCTTTTTGCTTTAAAGTCTTTAACCTATTATTGGTTGAAGGTTACTGACTTTTCTTATTTTAAATAAAAAGCAATTATTTTGAAATTAAACCATATTAAAGAAACTTATCCTTCAAAGTCTTATAATCTGTTACTGGTTGAAGATTATTTTTCTTATTTTAAGTAAACATTAATTATGTTGAAATCATACCCTATCAACATATTTAGAAGTAAATAAATGTATAAGCACTAAATGCTAGCAGGGATGCCTAATCTTTTGGCTTCCCTGAGCCACATTAAAAGAAGAATTGTCAGGGCTGGGCGCGGTGGCTCAAGCCTGTAATGTGAGCACTTTGGGAGGCTGAGGCGGGTGGATCACGAGGTCAAGAGATCGAGACCATCCTGGTCAACATGGTGAAACCCCGTCTCTACTAAAAATACAAAAAATTAGCTGGGCATGGTGGTGCATGCCTGTAATCCCAGCTACTCAGGAGGCTGAGGCAGGAGAATTGCCTGAAACTGGGAGGCGGAGGTTGCAGTGAGCCGAGATCACACCATTGCACTCCAGCCTGGGTAATAGGAGTGAAACTCTGTCTCAAAAAAAAAAAAAAAAAAAGAATTGTCTTGGGCCATACATAAAATACACTAACACTAGGAATTGAGATCCAAGATGGGGCTGATCACTAACAGCTTGGGATTGTAGCTCCCAGTGAAAGCACAGAGAACGAGAGGACGCCACACTTTCAGACGAATTTTCATCGCTCACGGACCAGAAGATTCCCAGTGGAGGGGCCCCAGGGGTCGCCAGTGCGACTCTGTGGCCGGTGCAGCAGTTCTGCTGGAGCCTTGGCACGGTAGCTCTTCATGCAGAGTAAACGGGAGGAGATTCCCGGGCAGAAGAGCACCATCAGTCTTATCACTGCTGTTTTGGCCGGCGCAGTGGGTTGCCCGGATTCCAGCGCTGGGAATCAAGAAACTGGGCATCCACTCAGAAACCCAACTAGAAAGGCAGTAATCATAAAGACGACAGATGGATAAATTTATAACAAAGGGAAGAAACCAGGCTAAAAAGGCTGAGAATACCCAAAATCAGAACCCCTCTCCCTCTACAGGGGATTACAGTTCCTCATCAGCAACGGAACAAGCCCTGATGGAAAAGGACTGTGTGCCATTAAGAGAAGTAGGCTTTAGAAGGTGGATGATAAGAAACTTCTGGGAGTTAAAAGAACTTGTTCTAACCCAATGTAAAGAAACTAAGAACTTTGAAAAAAGGTTTGATGAAATGCTAACAAGAATAGACAATATAGAGAGGAATATAAATGAACTAATGGAGTTGAAAAACAAAAAAAAACTTAGCGAAATATGCACAAGTTTGAATACCCAAATTGATCAAGCAGAAGAAAGGATATCAGAGGTCAAAGACCTACTTAATGAAATAAAATGAGAAGACAAGAATAGAGAAAAAAGGATAAAAAGGAATCAGCAAAGTCTCCAAGAAATATAAGACTATGTGAAAAGACCTAATTTACATTTGATAGGTGTACCTGAATGCGACGGAGAGAATAAATCCAAGCTGGAAAATATTCTTCAGGATATTATTCAGGAAAACTTTCCAAATCTAGCAAAGCAGGATAATATTCAACCCCAGGTAATACAGAGAACAACACAAAGATATTCCTCAAGAAGAGCAACCCCAAGGCACATAATCATTAGATTCACCAGGGTTGAAATGAAGGAGAAAATACTAAGGGCAGCCAGAGAGAAAGGTCAGGTTACCCACAAAGGGAAGCCTATTAGACTTACAGCAGATCTCTCAACAGAAACCCTACAAGCCAGAAGAGGGTGGGGGCTGATATTCAACATCCTTAAAGAACAGAACTTTCAGCCCAGAATTTCATATCCTGCCAAACTAAGCTTCACAACTGAAGGAAAAATAAAATCTTTTATGAACAAGCAAGTACTCAGAGATTTTATTACCACCAGGCCGGCTTTACAAGAGCTTCTAAAAGAAGCGTTATACATAGAAAGGAACAACCAGTATTAGCCTTTCTAAAAATATACCAAAAAGTAAAGAGCATCAACATAAAGAAGAATTTACATCAATGAATGGATAAAATAGCCAGTTAACATCAAATGGCAGTAACCCTAAATTTGACTAAATCCCCCAATCAAAAGATACAGCCAAAACCTAATGGTATGTTACATCCAGACCCATTTCACATCCAAAGATACAAAAAGACTTAAAACAAAGGGATGGAGAAAGATTTACCAACCAAATGAAGAGCAAAAATAAATAAATAAATAAAAAGCAGGAGTTGCAATTCTCACATCTGATAAAATAGATTTCAAAGCAACAAAGATATAATGGTAAAAGGATCAATGCAACAATAAGAGCTAATGATCCTAATCCCCAGATGCATAAGACTCAAAGAGATTTAGACTCAACGAGACAGAAAATTAATAAGGATATCCAGGACTTGAACTCAGATCTGGAACAAGCAAACTCAATAAATATTTATAGAGCTCTCCACGTTAAATACACAAAATATACATTATCCACCTTAAATACACAAAACTTTGATTGGCCATTATTAATACCCATTTTTAGAATAAAGCTACATTCCCGTTCCCTCTTCCTCTTTTTCTTCCTCTCCTTCACTCCTCTTACTAAAAAAAAAAAAAAAAAAAAAAAAAAAAAAAAAAAAAGTAAATGGAACTGGCCATCTGATCTGCAGAAAACAGTACTAAACTAAAACATGGAACTCCTGTTTCAAAAGCAGAGGAAAGGCCTAGCAATGCTAAAATACAGTTTTTTCTTCTTTTCCACAATCTCTTTCTTGATATGCTGTATTTTTCATGTTATTTAATTAAAAAAAAATACTCTAACACTAACGACAACTGATGAGCAAAAAAACAAACAAAAATCACAAACAAAAGTCATTATAGAAAGTTTACAAATTTGTGTTGGGGTCCATTCAAAGCTGTGGGTTGAACAAGCCTGCACTAAAGCAAAAAAAAATTTTTAACACTGGATCAGAAAATTACACAGAAAAATGTTTAGGATGACTCTGACTATGAAACATGATTTACTTTCTAAAATTAGCTATGGTTATATAGGATATTTTTTCTATTCACTTCGCTCTATATGAAAACTTAATTCAGTGCATATTTACTCAATATTTATCATATGACATATAAATATTGTGAATATATGGCAGGGATGAATCATTTTTAAAATAAGGTTATACACATAACAACCAGATACTGACTAGAGTTAGGACAAATACTATTCTCATTTGAAATAAGGACTAAAGACTAAACCATTTGCCTTATTGATCCTAGAGCCACACCAAGTATGAAAATCTTAACCCCCATGTTAAATGTTTTTTCTACAAGCCCATGGTTCCTAAGTCATACTAAAATTTCCATTAAAAATTTTTTCATGCTTATATCACAATTCTTACTTGATCCACTTAATGAAATTCCAATTACTTCAAAGATCATATATTATTGCTAACCTAATAAACATAAAATTTATTTCTTCATATGAATAAATATTTTATTTAAAAGTGAGTCCAAAGTAACAGCCCACTATTTAGGTGGTACAAATAAAAACTGTAGATCCCTTCTCCTCTCCTCTCTCCCAACAATTCTAAGGAAAATACTATCAAGCCAATTGGCAATTAAGTTCAAACTAGAAATACATTTCATTAAGCTATTTATTTATTAGAAATAAATTACATTAGGCTATTTACACTAAGGTATTTTATGACTGGCTATGCACATTTCAGAAGTAACTCTAAGAATACAAAGAAAAGGTCAGTTAAAATAATTTATCTTGCCAAAATGAGATGCTATATTTAAACTGAGAGATATTGTATTTCCAAACATTTAAATACATAGTCAGATGCAGTTCAAAAGATTTCTGACTAGCCACTAACAGAAAACATAAGTGCAACAAAATACACAGCATACCTGAATCTTACTAATGCTGTCTAAAGATAATATGTTTAGAATTTCACAGAAATACACCAAAATAATAAACACAAAATTCAAAAAGTAACACAAAATAATCCTATCCTAGCAGTTGTTCCCTCATCTACAAAGGTCAGACCAAATGAATTCTCAACTTTCTTTCAATTCTAACTACTTTTTTTTTTGATACTGGAATCAAACACGAGACACCTTTAGCTTTATATTATCTCAAAAGTCATTTATTTTTTAACCTCTCAGTAAAGATACCAAGAGTTATTTAAAAGATATCAGCTAAGATATTATCTCCTGATCCAACAGTCCCACTTCTGGGCATTTATCCAGAATATTTGAAATCCGTATGTCAAAGAGAAGTCTGCACTCCATGTTCATTGCAGACAATTCACAATAACCAAGTTATTCAGTCAGTGTAAGTGTCCATCATTGGATGAATGGATAAAGAAAATATGATATGTATACATACATATACATAATAAATACTATTCAGCTTTACAAAGCTAGAAATTGTGTAATTTGCAACAATATGGATGAACCTGGAGGACATTATGGTAAGTGAAATAAGCCAAGCACAAAAAAGGCAACCACGTGATCTCACTTATTTGTGTAATCTAAAGCAATTAAACTCATAGAAGTATAGAGAGGAATGATGGTTACTAGAGGCCAGAAAAGTAGGAATGGGGAGATGATAATCAAAAGATACAAAGCCTCAATTAGATAGAAGAAATATGTTTGATTTTTTTTTTAGAACTATTATACAACATGGTGAATATAGCTAATAATTAAGCACTGTAAATTTCAACACTGTTGAGAGTAAATTTCAAATGTTTTCATCACAAAATATATCAAATATTTTAGGTGATAGGTTAATTAGCTTTATTTAACCATCCCACATTATATTCAGAAATTGTAACACCACCTTGTACCTCATAAGTATATACAACTATAATTTGTTATTATATAATTTAAAAATGTAAAAAGATAGTCTCCTAACAATCATATGAGGATTTTCCTAAAAAGTCTTTTGAAAGTATCCCATGAAAAGACATGTCTACTCAGAACCTGTGAATACAAAGTTACTTGGAACATGGGTCTTTATACACATAATTAAGGATCTCCACACAATCATCCTAGATCAAGGTGGGCCATCAATTCAAAGACAGCCTTTAGAAAGTAATAAAGAAAACACAGAGAGAACGGCCATGTGAACACAGAGGCAGAGATTGGAGTGAAGACTGCAGTCTGTAATCCTTGGACAAGATTTGTCCACAAGCCAATTAACTCCAAGAACTGCAGACAGCCATAAGATATTAAGAGAGAGATGTGAAATGGATTATTCCTTAGAGCCTCCAGAAGAAACCAATGCTGCTTACACTTTGATTTGACTTCTGGCCTCTAGACTGCGAGGAAAATTGTTGTAAGCAACCAAGTTTGTGATCATTTGTTATGGGAGTCATGGGAAGCTAATACAATATGTCTTTCAGAAAGAAAATACCCCTTTTAAACATATTATCAACACCATTTGTCTTTGGCCATCATACATTTCATAGTAGAAATTAGTGAAAGAGCTTCATCATTTCTAGATTTTAAACAATAAACAACAATTTGATGAGTTTCTATTATTTACTATCTATGCATGTCTATTTTGACTTAGATTTCAAATTATATTTACTGAAATGTTAAGCAACTTTTCAATCAAGATAATCACCTGAAAATTTGTTAAATATCTGCTAATACTTTGTTATTAGGTTGGTGCAAAAGTAATTGTGGTTTTGCCATTACTTTCAATGGCAAAAAACACAATTATTTTTGCACCGACCTAATATTTCTCTCTGGAGAGAATAAGTTAGTTCCAGTAATATGAAGCATACCCAGTTTTAATAAACTTGTACATACAAAACATTCCCAAGCTTTTTGAGGGGCCAACATTATTAGAGAGATATGAGATAACTGAAAACAATTTCATTTCCCCATTATTCAGGCTTTTCAAGCAGGTCTTAAGCTCTCTCAGTGCTCTGCCACTTAATTTCTTATATATGTTTAAAACATATAAAAACATCTAATGTAATCACCGTTGTACCAGAAAGAAAGTTTATAATTTCTATCTATTCAGTTGTTCATTGCAGAAATGGTCTAATTATTAAGTCCACTTTTACAGTTCAAAATATCACTGATATTACCACATAAACCTTTGAATGTCCTGACTATTTGGCCACTGAAAAGTCTTGTTCAGAAAGATGTAAAAAGTTATGAAATTAACAATTGCATAGCAAGTCAGTTCACAAACGAGTCTGGATATGGGAGGTAGAGGTACATTAAGCCTATAAATGACATAAGGTAAAACAAAGTAGCGAAATTCCAGCAGTTTCTGAGGAACTATCACAATGAACAAACATATGAAAAACATTAAATTCCAAAAAATTGACTTTGATTTCAATGAGTCAGCTATACTCCAACCAGCAAATATATAGGCTGGAACTAACAAATATTTCACAATTTCATATCTTTGAAAAACTCGTTTCCACACATAGAATGTATAATGTCTATTGTCTGCTAGCAAGTATTTATGAGCATAAGTGAATTTCCAAACTAAAAGCACAGAGACTAAGGTAACCACAAAAAACAGAATTCTACGTTTCCAAACTAAGGAAAGAAAAGTCTTAATTTTGCTAAGAGACAGGAGATGAGGAAAGGAAAAAAAGAGAGTAAATGAAAAAAAGTAGAATAGTTGAGGAAAATGAAGACAGGCTTCATGACTACTCCGATCGCCAATAACAATTCCACCATTAAGTACTACAAAAGCACAAAACAGAAATCCCAGAAGGATGTATGGCCAAGTCAGACGGAAAAGCATATTCAAATTTTTGAAGGACATAGAATAAGCCAAAAGAAACTGAAGAATTTTTCGGAATTCTGCAAATGGTCCTTTAATAGGTGGAAGTCTGTTTTCTTTCTTTTGTAGCTCAGTTTTCCAAGCCTCAGTTAACTTTTGTGCAATGACATTTCCTGCACAGAAGACAGCCCAGATGATATTTGTTTGCCGAAACATGAAGCCACAAAATCCAAGCAAGGCTGAAGTTTTATGATTCCCATAAAGACACATCAAATACGCAAAAAGAGTGAAAAACATAGATCCCACTTCTGTATAATAAAGGAAGTTAAAAAAATAAAGTGTTGGAAACACTGCTAGCGTTAATGTTGACAAGACTCTCTGGATACTTGAGGCAGCCTTGGAGGAAGAAAAAACACAGATAAAATTATTTTCATGATTTAAAAAATGCTATTTCTGCTTATCTAATGAAAAGACTTATTTAAAAACTACTTGAACCTCATTTAAATAAAATTAATCAATATTAATCTTATCTCTGGCTTTACAAAAACACAACATACATTTGTAAGAACACTTCCTGGTACTTTTTATTTAAACCTATCAGTTTGGAGACCATATGTATACCAAAGCTTCCATGGCTTAACACAGTTTGAATCAGGCAATGATTAGTTAAGAAGTTATTGAGTGCAAGACACTGACTAAGTTCTGTGGGGACTATGGAGGTTCTCTCCATTACATGCTGAAGTTCAAAGTCCTCTCTGTGACATACAAGAGCATTCATGACCTACTCCTCTAGCCTTACATCCCTCTAATTTCTAATCTTGCAATTCCAAAGACCAATTCCCTGCACTTTGTTGTCCAATGCCTTTCTTCCTTTGCATGTGCTGTTTGTCTCACCAAGAATAATTCCCCACCCTACAGCCCTATCTGTTCAAGACTCCACTCTGGTACCAACTTCTCTGTGAAGACTTACAATGTCACCTACTCCCCTCTGCCCAAGAAAAGCAGTAAGTGTTTCCCTGCTCCTTCTCTGTATCCTCATAGCATCTTATATCTATCACTCTATCATAATTGATACTGCTGAAATCATCTCTTAAGATTAAAAATAATTATTAGACTTAATATTTACTGAGTCCTTACTATACATCCAGCACTCTTCTAAGCATCTTGCATTTATTAAGCTTCTTTATTCCTCTGTTCTATATGGCAAATTCTATTATTATTCTTATTTAATACATGAAGACATGGAACCACTAAGGGGTAACCTGCCCAAGGTAACAAAACTGTAAGTGGCAGGGAGAGAATTCTAACCGAGGCAATCTACCTCCAGGGCCTGCACTGTTATCACATCAAAATCCCTCAGGTAAGTCTGTTTTCCCTAAGTTTTACAAGAAAAAAATTGTCTCATTTATCTCTGTAGCCCCAGTGCCTAGCACATGTAATAAACTCAGCAGGTATTTATTGAACTAGCTTGATTCACTTAACAAATATTTACTTTAGATTTTACAAATAAGTTATTCAAGTATTTAAATATAAATTTAAATGGAGATGGAGATTTAAATTTACCTTTACAAAATATACGAAAATACAAAGTGTTACACCAAATCTCCTAAAACAAATTCATTGTAATTGTGGACCTGACTATGCATAAACTTGTAATTAAGTATTTTGAAACATACCTGGTTTCTGGGTTGTACCTTGCGGAAAAGCAAATATAGTAAATAGAAGTTGCCAACACTGAAGAGAAGATTAACAAATCTGAGCATACCAATGGAGCAGACAACATGTTCGGACCATCCAAAGATCCAACTGGCAGGTTTGACCACTCCAACTGACACCAGGTATAAGCCAGGTAATGTAGTAATCATGGGATCCCACTTTAAAATGAAAGAAAATAAAGTCAAAGCAAGAGGTAATACGAACAAGGCAGACACAAACATGTCGAGCCCAAGTCTCATCTCCAGCCACAATCAGAAATTTTGAGAAGTTATTCTATGACAAGCTTAAGTCAGTCCTTAGCAGCACAGGACTAGTTTTTCCTATTTTTTACCCCTGGACCTGCTTAGTGATTGTTCAGGTGGCAACAACCAATAAATAACAACTTAAAATCGATTTCTATTTTCCAAGAAATTTTCTTTAGAAAGCCTTTATTTTGGTAACTAAACTGCAAATGCTCCAGTTTTAAAAAGCATGGAACCATTGGTTGGAACTCTAAGTTTAGGAAAACATTTGGGCTACAGGCTTCATAATGACAGCTAATAGGAACTGAGCCAGAAATTGTGCCAAACCCTCTGTATTAACCTTACGACATGCTCTGTAGTAGAGAGTATTACTGTCATTTTGCAGATGAGTAACCCGAATTTCTGAAACTCAGAACACTTCCAAGATCACAAAACTAGTAAATCACAGCACTATGATTTATGATCAGGTCTTTCTCTAAAACAGACTTCATATTTCCAACCAGTACCCAAATATATTGTGTCACTAGAAAAGGAGGGGATGTTTATTTTGATGTTTATTATGTATATACTTGCATAGTCAAATATATATTAAAAAATGATATGACTTGACTGGTTGCCAGTTTATTCAGTTAACAGATAGTTCACTAAATATACCCAGGGAAGGAATTTTGTGATTGTAAATTGTTACTTTTTGGTAGCTGAAGACCCCTCCAGTCCACCCTATCCCATCCCTAAAATGCATAGTTAGATGCTTGACAGGTGAGTTAAAGGGAAGTTTTCTGATATTTCTAAGGAGCACCCTAATGCCTTTAATCCTGAGACAAGGAAAGACAAAGTGGAATAGATATCGTCAGCAGCCAACAGGGGCGCTCAGTTCCCCATTAAGTATTCTACCAGATCATTCCTTCTTGGGAGACAGATATGCTGTTTATTCATTAATTTAACAAATATTTCACAAATCTTAGAGACAGGAACAAAAGACAATTTCTTTCATGTTTTGAGGCTGGAAGGGTGGAACGGGGCGAGTTAAGTCTAAGAATAGGAGAAGAACCTGGGGACGCTGAGCCCTCTCAGGCCGGTCCTAGGGTGGGGACAGGTTAGGAACCCCACCTGGGAAAGGGAGAAATGGCCCTCACAGTAGCGCTGCGCCTGAGGCAGGTGGAAGATTTCGTCCATGTAGGGCTCTCGCAGCGCCCGGCTGAAGGCGGAGAAAAGGAGGCAAGACACTAAAAAGGTACAGCTCAACGCAGCCGAGAAATAGTAACCCTCTAGCTGCGCCATTACTGCTCCCAAAGCCACTGGCCAAAGATCCACTCCTGGAAAATTCTGAGCGAGGAAATCCGAGCTGGAAACTTGGGCTCGAAATGGGCGCGCTAGGCGGGACTAACCGGACGGGGCCACATACCGGAAGGCAGAGGATGCTGGGAGAGCGCGGATCCGGAAAGATCGGGTCTCTGTTTCCTGGGTGACGGGTTTGATAACGGACCGGATGATTACCCTGTCAATCATATTGCCCGGGGCGCACTGAGGGTCAGAACTTCCGGAAAGGGCGGGTCTCGGAATTCGCCGCGTGGGAAGTACGCGGCTTGCTGCTTTAAAAAAAAAGCGGCTTCTTAGGTTGGATCTGTTTTTTTCCTGTTCATATCCAATTTTTACCAGAAGATGGCGAGGTATCCCCACGTTTCCACTTCCAAGCCCTAAAGTTTACACCTTTACCCCCAGTTATATCTGTTATTTTTCTCCAGTAATCCGAATTAAAACCTCAATTTCAAGACATTTTGTTCCCTCAACTTTGGAGGGTGGAAAAGGGGCGTTGGTTGTGATAGCAAAGATTGAGACTTTCAGATGAAAACTTGAAGAACCAGACAGAGACCCTTCAGTACCCAATGAACTTCAGTGAGAGGTGAGAGGAGGTTTTTGTTTTGAGGTAAAAAGAGAACTCTTCATTCCTAGTGCACTCTGGTAGCCAATATCTCAGTACCCTGTAGGATTTGGAAAAAAAAAAAAAACTTTAGAATTTTGGGATGTTTTAGGTAAGGAAGAATTCTCTGTGCCTGTAAATTTGGTTGTTAATATCTGTATGGCAGCGTTCTATTTTTCCTACTAAATCATAAGCGCGAACATCTTAATGGGTGGCACTCTACATCCTTTTTGTTTGTAGTCCCCCAGATGGCTCTCACACAGGCACTTAAATTTGTAGACTTTTATAGGCTGTATAGACATCATAAAATTCCTGTATTCTGGGATTAGGGTTTGGGGGCAGGAGATGAGGTAAATTATTTGAATGCCGGAGATAAATTATGTGTTACGATTTTGTCTTGAGCGTGGTTGGCCATATTTTGTAGAAAAATGATCTCTCAGGTAACCTCAGTCAGGTTGCCTTTGGCAAGAATATATAAGAAAGGAGTGAGGATTTAAGGTCGCAAATCACAAAGTTCTCAATTGAGCTCTTTTTCTGGGTCAAAAACTAATTCAGTCTTTCTGAACTTAAGAACATTTCTTAAATTAAGTGACTGCCTTTCTGTTCTGTCTCTGCCATTTCCTTAATTATAAGAGGAGGTAGTGGTGAATGAGGGCTAGGATGGGAACATTTACATTTCTGGAATAAAATCATGTGAGGATCTTACTCTGATGTGATGCTTAGTTTTGTTTTAAGCATGATCTCCCATTTTATTATTGAGTCCATGCTGAACTTACCTGTTTAAATTACTTGTAACAACATGTCCAGATTATTCAGTCTTCAGGAGGTTGATATCTACAAGTAATTAGCCCCTGACATGTTGAGTTGCTAAATCGTGTTGTATATATTCTGCAGCTTACTGACCCACCCTAGAAATAGTGGGTAGTTTCTAAAGGGAGTAGAACAAGACTAGACATTTATGCAATCCATTTTTCTTTATAATAATTGCCACCAAGAGTTTACATTAAACATTTGACTCCTATACATGCTGCACACATTCCTTTGCATGAAACGGAAAGTTTCAAGGAAATAGGGGGTTTTAGAATTGCTAGGGATCTTTATTAATAATCTACTTGACTTCATTTTATAGAAGCTGAAGTTTAAAAATGAACGACTTACCTAAAATTACAGCAAAAATTAGTGTTGGAACCAAGTGTAGGAATTAGAACATTAGACCAAGAGCAATAAAATAACTTTATAGACTTATACTTTAAAATAATCTACAATGTATACCGAACTGAATGTTTACTAGTCCCAAGAAGTTTACATTTACATTGCATTCTCCTCTGTTTCCATAAACAAAGTTGAAATACAAGTTTCATCTTTTGTTTTGTTTTGAGTCAGAGTCTCCTTCTGTAGCCCAGGCTGGAGTGCAGTGGCACGATCTTAGCTCACTGTAACCTCTGCCTCCCGGGTCCCAGTTCACGCAATTCTCCTGCCTCAACTTCCCAAGTAGCTGCAATTACAGGCATATGCCACCATGCCCAGGTATTTTTTGTATTTTTAGTAGAGACAGGATTTCACCATGTTGACCAGGCTGGTCTTGAACTCTTGACCTCATGATCCGCCCACCTTGGCCTCTCAAAGTGCTGGGATTACAGGTGTGAGCCACCATGGAGCTTTCATCTTTTTAAAAATCTTCATCTTACAGACTTATTACATCAAAATCTGTTGGTGGATCATTGTGAAAAACTAGATTCTAGAGTGCCATCTCAAATCACTGATAGCCTTATATTTGGAAATCATCGATTTGAAACATATTCCCTAAGAATGCTAAGAAGCTCCATGGGCCCAGTAGAATTCTTCATAGAATACTTCACTCGTTTGTTGGTGAATTATTTTAGTATTTGCAAATCGATGAAGCTATTATCATGTTTCTAATCTTAGATTATTACATCTTTGATAATCTTGAAATGCTTTCCAAAGTTCTGAGCTCTGCTTCTAAATCAAGACCTATTAAAATAGCTACCTCTGGGATTTTAATGAAATAAATTACATTTTATTAGACCTATCATTTAAAACTAGATCACTTTTAATATTCAACTTGTATTCTCCCTTAAGAATTCCAACTCCCATTTTCCATAGATGTTTATTTTGTGAAAAAGAATTATTAGGATCTGCAATCCTATTATCATTGCACAGCAATTATTTATTTGTGCTACTTGAATTATGATAAAGAAGTTATGAGAGAAAAATGGGCAATTTTTGTTGGGGTTCTAAGGATAGGTCGTTTGAGCAAGAAATAAATATTTTCTGGTTTATAAGCCATTAAGATTTTGAATTTATTACTGCTATATAATCTAGCTTACTTTGATCAATTCAGACATTCCTAATTTGATGAACTCACATAACATTGCCATGTATGAACAGTGAATTTACCCAAAGGCTGTACCTATAATAACTTTGAAGTATTAGTCCAAGAAACACTCTGCCTCTTATTGCACCCCTTTTCACTTGTTGCTGAATGAAAACACTGGCCACTTGGTAATCATAGTGATGGTTTACTCATTTCTGGGTGGCAATTCGTTCTAGCTACAGCAGAGTACCGCATCCTGGGCCAAGATCACAGACAATAACCTCTAAAATGCAACTCTACACTTGAAGTTAATCTTAACTTATCAATTTAAAACCTAAAGTTTAAAATTAATGAATCAATTAAAAACACACACACATTTGAGTACAAAAGCATTAGCAAGTATTTTACCTTTACTAAAAATATCTTGAAGACATTGTATAGGGGACTGGTTAAACCTAAGTTACACACACACACACACACACACACACACACACACACAGACTCTTATCAAAGACAATAGTATTTATTTGGGATTGAGCATTACAGTAAGGATATGATGAACATAGGTAAAAGAAGACAAGGAATTTTAAAGGAAAAATGAAGAGAGTTACATAAATTGCTTTGAGACAATTATCCTTGGTTACAGGAACTGGTAACAAGGGTGGCACCAGTTTGAGGTTGGACAGGCAGTTGCAGAGCAAATGTCCTTGCAGAAGTAATTTTTTGTGAGATCGTGGTGGCCTTTGTGCAAAGTTGTGGTTTGTGCAGTCTTTTGTTGTAGTTCCTGTTATCTGGCATATGTGCGTGTAAACCCTCCCTTTCTGGTCTTCCCTAGTTCCATTTTTCAGGGTTTTTATGCAAGTGACCCCATTTTGATTTTGATAACTTACATAGAGCAAATCTTAGTGGTTTGTGGCACTTTCCAATTTTAGCCTTGAAAGTCTCAGGCCAGGTAAATTCTGTAGTCTCAAAGAGAGATGGTTGGTGATACAGTTTGGCTGTGTCCCCACCCGTAATCTCCATAATCCCCATGTGTCAACAGAAAGACCAGATGGAGGTAATTGATCATGGGAGCAGTTTCTCCCATGCTGTTCCAGTTATAATGAGTGAGTTTTCATCTGATGGTTTTATAAGTGTTTAGCAGTTCTTCCTGCATTCATGCTCCTTCCTGCTGTCTTGTGAAGAAGGTACCTTGCTTCTCCCATCCCCTTCCCCCATGATTGTAAGTTTCCTAGGGCTTCCCCAGCCATGCTGAACTGTGAGTCAATTAAACCTCTTTCTTTTATAAACTACCCAGTTTCCAGCAGTTCTTTATAGCAGTGTAAAAACGGACTAATACAGTTGGTCATTTAGAAAAATATACTATACAACCCAAAGCAAAACTTCCTAAATATTTTTTAATAACAGTAGTTCTTAAAGTGTGTTCCCTGTACCACAGCATTAGCATCACCTGGGAACCTGTTAGAAATGCAAATTATCAAGTCATGCCTTAGACCTACTGAACACAAATTCTGAGAGCAGAGCCAAGTAATACATGTTTTAACATTCATTTTGTAATCAATTATAATTGCCTTAGATTCCCAGGTGGACCTGATGCCCATGAAAGTTTGAGAATACGGCCGGTCGCGGTGGCTCAAGCCTGTAATCCCAGCACTTTGGGAGGCCGAGACGGGTGGATCACGAGGTCGAGTAATCGAGACCATCCTGGTCAACATGGTGAAACCCCGTCTCTACTAAAAATACAAAAAATTAACTGGGCATGGTAGTGCGTGCCTGTAATCCCAGCTACTCGGGAGGCTGAAGCAGGAGAATTGCCTGAACCCAGGAGGTGGAGGTTGCGGTGAGCCGAGATCGCGCCATTGCACTCCAGCCTGGGTAACAAGAGCGAAACTCCGTCTCGGAAAAAAAAAGAAAAGAAAGTTTGAGAATACAGCTGTCCTCCACATTTCCCTTGCTTTTTTGATCACTCATGCTGCTTTGTCCCTAGCTTCTCCAATTCTTCATCTCCAGGCTTCATCCTACCAAGAAACAAAGTTCATTGCCAGTGAACATATAGCCTAGTTCCTCCTTAGCAGCTGAAGAGGAGGAACTTAAATACTTACAATTTAATAGTTTTTGGTCATATATATATATATATATATATATATATATATATATATTCAGACAGATATCTTTTTTTTTTTTTCAAAAAACTATGTAAAGGGGAACTGTGCTTTTTGCTAAAATAAGCTAGTCCTACAGCTATTGCTGTCAGTTAGATAAAAAACATTGCAGGAAGAAAAAAAGACTTCATGAATTCCTTTTCCTTTAAATAGCATAAAATTTAAGAGAATCATAAA